ATCAGAGCCAGGAGGCGGGTCTTAGTGCTGTCAATCACCCAGACTCTCTGTTATGCTGCAGCTAGCAGAGAATGTTGTGAATGCTAATGCTAGTTAGCAGTCATCAGTGATTGTGTAAATCTAAAAAAAAAATAATAATAATTATTTTCAAGTTTGAAAAGTAAAAAAATTGCTAGAAAAGAAGCTGGTTCCTAGATAACGTGAACATTTCTGAGTTCAAAATTTTTATTTTTGAACATTTTTTTACTTTTGAAACACAGCACTTTGTAATTTTTTTTAATTATTATATTCAAAAGAAATTCTGAGATAATCTCAAATATTTTTGGAAAACAAAAAACTCAATTATGGACTAGAAAACAAGGGTAAGGAGACCCGAACCGAAACGGTTAGCTATTTAGTGCAGAGTACACATGGATGATTGGCAGCACTAAACCCCTTCCTCTGGTTTAGATCGTTTTGTTTTCATGTGTTTCTACTGATAATAGCTGAGAGAGGTGGTGGAGGAGGTCAATTTTTTTCAGATTATCATAAACATGTTTTTTTACAAGTTACCTGCTGCGGTTTTAAATGAGCCGTTAAACTATGAAATGTGTTGTGATGTTGAGAACATTCAGACTGCAGAGTCCCTTTCAGTCCCACTAAATGCTTTACTTCTTGCCCCCCTCTGCGTCTGTAGTTGGAGTTGAGTGATAACAGGATATCAGGCGGTCTGGAGGTTCTGGCAGAGCGGCTCGTCAATCTGACGCACCTCAACTTGAGCGGCAACAAGTTCAAAGACATCAGCACGCTGGAGCCGCTGGTGGGTAGAAATGAGATTCTAACCACTCGGGTTTGGTTGGTTACCAACAGACATGATGCCTGCTGGCTGCTCACAGTCGACCTTCAAACTGGAATATTGAAGCATTTTGACGTGACGACTTAAATAATTTTTTTGGGGTTGACTCACTTTCTTTTCTAAGAAATTTCAAATGACAGGAAGTACTGTCAAATCCCTTCTGTAACTTGTCAGCAACTGACCAATCAGCTTTCCAAGTACAAGCACTCTGACGATATTGACATGTCTATCATAGAAAACAGGCTGGGATCAGAAACTTTGAGGAAAATAACAGGTAATAGTTTTTGTCATAACGACCCTTCCTGACAGCTCCATGCTAACGACTCACGGTTCTGTGCTAAGGACTCACACAACTCGGCTAAATTAAAATAACAATGCCAAACATCTATTCATTTCCAGGTCAGTGAGTGAAGGTAGTAGTGCTGGATGCGTGTCGAATCCAACGGTAGCTGAGAACCGACAGCAGTAACTGCTTTACCGGCATTTAAAACCGTTTCATGCTCCTGCTTATTTCTAAGGATTTTCCTGAAGGCAGATCTTCACAACCCGGCTTTAAGTTATTACTCACACATTTTGTATTCATAAAATGCGTCCCGCAGCGTTCACACTTACAGCTAACCAGACTTTTTTGGCCCTCATTTTTCCTCTAGGGATTTATCCCTGATTTCTCCATTATTTCCTGCTAATGACCTTACGGACCTGACATAGGACTAGTTGCAGAACTTTCTTGCCTGCCGTCTTTGCCTCAGTGTTGGTTTGTTAGGCAAAAATGACTCAATAAATGTCTGAGGTAACGCAATGAGGTCCTGGCCCTAATATTTAAAACAAGATGGCCGCCCTGGCCATACTGACAAAACGATGGTGAAAAAAATCAGATTCTCTAAAAATATAATTTTCAAAATCCAAAAATGTGATGATTGATTTATGGGCCAGCCCTATTCTGTCAGCAGAGTTGGTGAGTAGTTGTGAAGCAGAGGGAACCGGTTCTGTTCCTGGTTCTGTTCCTGGTTCTGCTCCTGGTTCTGTTCCTGGTTCTGTTCCTGGTTCTGCTCCTGGTTCTGTTCCTGGTTCTGCTCCTGGTTCTGCTCCTGGTTCTGCTCCTGGTTCTGTTCTGGTCCAGGCAGCTGAACGGTTGTTGTTGTTTGTTTGGCCGCTGCAGAAGAAACTTCCTCAGCTGAAGAGTTTGGACCTGTTCAACTGCGAGGTGACCAACCTGGGCGACTACCGGGACTCCATCTTCACGCTGCTGCCTCAGCTCACCTACCTGGACGGCTACGACGCTGACGACTGCGAGGCGTCCGACTCGGACGGGGAGGCCGACGCCGTCGATGACGAAGGTCTGTGCGGCGTTGACAAAGCTCAACGAACGGTTCGCCGTGTTTGACATTAATCTGAATCTTTTGCGTCCCAAAGGAGAGTCGGAGGAGTTCTGGGAGGAGGAAGAGGACGATGATGAAGATGTGGTGGCGGAAGAGGACGATGACGACAGCGGCGATGATGAGGTTAGCTTCCTGGTTCATTCCTCATCTTCATCATGTTGGTCATCACATTAACATGCTGCTGTTTCTGGCAGGAGGGCGGCGTGAACGGAGAGGTGGACAGTGAGGAAGATGACGATGATGAAGAGGATGACGAGGAAGATGGTGGTGAATAGCCGAGATCTTCTGCTGGTTTTACCTCCAGATAAAATACAACTTTGTTTTTAAAACGCCTTAAATAACTTTGCAACCATGGAAAGGTTGAAATATTCAACCCTCTTTAGTAAAGCAGCTAAATAAAACACATCCTGGTTCAATTAATTACAGAGGGTTTTATTTTCAAGGCCTTAAAATGTCTTAAATTCATTACAAAAATGTTAGTCTTAAATACGTTTGTCAGGTCTTACATTTTATTGCAGCAGGAATATTTTTTTGTTTGTTGAAGAACTTTTGAGGCGGTTGCTAACTAGCTGCTAATGTACCTGTGCTAGCTCTTTTTTTTTTTTTATTTATTATGAATGCAAACTACAAAGTTTCTGCTGCCAGCCCATAATCGCACCCAATCATCTCCTATAAACTCTTAATAGATATTTTCAGTCTCAAATTTGATTCAAACTGGCATTGAAAAGTTATTATGAAACCTGCAGATGCCCTGAATTAGTAAATAGTTGAGTTCAACGGGTGACTTGTTTCCTCCACAGACGAGGATTCGTCTCCGGTGAAGGGACAGAAGAGGAAGAGGGACCAGGAAGAGGAAGAGGAAGATGATGAGTGAACCCCCCACTGTTTCCCACCAGCCAACACCAGCTCTGCTTCCACTCCCACTGGGCTGCATCCCATCCGTTAAATCTCCAAAATCTAAATAACTTTCTCCTCCATGCTTCACGTTTATCTTTTATCAACAATCTGCTCAACTCCTCAGATTCTTCCTACATTTTTTTGTAGATTTCTTATAAACTCAGGAATAAAATGTAAAAACTCAAAAGTTAGAAGACATTTATTAACATTTTCTTTCCTCTTAAAATATGGGATTTCCTCCCTTTTTTATTTTTTTGTCATATTTATACCATCGTCACTTTTTCAGGAGCTCAAAGTGGAAAATGACCAGATTTAATTTTTACCATAGTTTAATTTCTTTCTCTGAAAACATGCAACTATATTTAACAAATATTAAGACCAAGATTGTAATATTTTCACAGAAAACATAAATCTAATGTTTTCCTCTTTAAAACATCTGCAGTCATAAAATAAAGCCTCAGTTGAATCAACGTTTCGTTGGTCGATTCCATCAGAAGCTGTTTGTGTGATGATGTAAAATAGGATATGAAATGATTTAAATTCAAGTCGGTGGATGCAGGTTTTTGTATTTTTGAGGTTTGATTCTCATTTTTCTCTCCCTTTGACCTTTGACCCGATCTGTCGTCCCGGTTCCCCGCAGCCAGCTGCGCTCAGGGCAAACTGTGTTGTTTTGTTTTTTTTTTTGTTTTGTTTTTTGTTTTGCAAGCAGAGCTTTTTAAAAAAATCTATTTTTTCAGAGAAAGTTTTGTTTACTTTTGCATGGCTGCCTCTGGGCGCCGTCTCTCTTTTTCTCTCTCTCTCTCCGTGTGCCTCTGCGTTCGTTTCGTCACTGTCACAGCGAAGCCATGAGGTCGTTTGCTTGTTTTATTTTTACTTTCTGTAAGTTAAAAATGAGAAATCATACAAAAGGACTCTGTAAATAAAATCTTAACATTTTCCTCCTGGTGTCTCTTCATTCTGAATTTACACAAAAAAACAAAAATTCTAATAAAAAGTATTTTTGTTAAACTTCATTGGTAAATTTTTTCACAAAAAGTTATGAATTGCAGAGCAGAAATTTACCCCCGAAATTAAACGTCTTAATTTAAAACAAATTCTAGAAAACTTAAAACTTCTTTTCAAAAGTTAAACATTTGTCATGTTGTGAAAATATTAGATTTTTGAGTTTTTAAGCTCAGAAAGACGCTAAATATGTATAAAAAGTTGCAGAATACACCTTCTGTAACTTCTAGTTATGACGTTTGTCCACAAGGGGGCAACAAATCAGTGTTTTTAGGTTCAACCTGTGGCTGAACGATATGGGTTAGAAATCTAATCAGTAAAATCATTTTTTATATTAAGTTAAAAGAAATTGTAAATTTGCTTTTCGGAAAATAAATTTTAAAAAGTGGCCTTTATTTGAATAATTTCTTCTGGTCATTGATTTGAATTCAAAGTCCAACTAAATACAAGCTGTAATTAAATATTAAAATATTTAATTATTATTAATACAAAACTAAATTTGATTAAACTGGTTCATCAAGTTTAACCTCCACAACATTTAGCAGTTTATAACAGGAGTTTCTCATTATTTTCAACAAGCTGAAAATCATTTAGGATCTACACCAATTGTTTCTTTTATGTTTTATAACATCATTTGCTTTTATATCAGCCAAAATTATCTATACTATTGAATGCTGAATAGTTTTCATGTCATTGCTTGAATCGTCACAAACAAAATAAAGTAGTTCAATATCTGGCTCAGCTTTACTCAAAGATTGTAATGTTTACTGAAAATTACTTTGCACAATCCTGTGAAAATGTTGAAAATTTTCAGAATTTGTCACCAAGATGCAACTTTGTTGCATTAGAAAACACTTCCAGAGTGAAGAGTCACCAGTTTATAACATTTAGTACAAACATGCATAACATACTGATGTTTATTAAACTTGATAATTAAATTTCATTTAATTATCAAGTTTTAATCTTATTTTCACAATTTTTATACATATAAATTAAACAGTTCTTTGTTTCCGGAGCAAAAGTGAAACAGCTTCCATGTCGTTAAGGTCAGAGTGAATAACTGACGGGGTCAGAAGGTCGCCCTCAGGTTGCTCCTGTTCTTTATATCCAGCTCCAGTTTCGCGATTCTCACCTGCAAGATGGAAACAAACAATCATTTTATACAGTTTTTTTGTTTTAAAGTGCCTAAACTTTGTGTGGATCGATGTTGGGTTGATAGAAAAGCTTCTTGTAATTACTCAGATAATTAAACATCAATTATTAATAAATTGATACTATTTAATATGCAACTAAACACTAAATTAATCAAAAGAAGTTATTCCGGTCCTTAAATAACTTCTCTAAATTTAATGTCGACCAGTAAACACTGACACAAATTCCTGTTTGCTGTAATAGAAAAAAAAGAGAAAACATTACCTTACCTTGCTAAGCTAGCATGTTTCTGGATGACATTTGAGTGCAAATATTTATTCCTGGTTAGCATGTTAGTAAATTATTACAATTATTTATGATCATTTTAATGTTTTTAGTTAATCCTGTCGCGTTCAAATGTTCATGTGGGACAAAATTTTATTTTTGGAACCAAACAAATGAAGTTCTGCTAATGCTAGTTTAAGCTAGCTAGTTGAGATTAAGTTTAGCTTGCTAGCTGCTAACAGACGAACTGTTTGCCTTTGCTGTGTTTTTTACTCAGCATGCGGCATAAATGTTGATCAAATGTAATTTTTATTTTTATTTATTTTTTCATACATTGTTGGTCTCTAAATATTTTTGACCAAGAAAAATGCACATTTTCTTAACTTGTCAAACAAAAAGCAGACAAGCGTCCACGTTTCATTATTTTTTTATAAATTGTGTGTTTTTGCAGACCTCCTTCTGATGCAGCTCGTCCTTCAAGCCTCTGATCTCGTCCTGTTGTCTGTAAAATGCCTGCAGGAGCTGAAGCAGAGACTCGGTCACTGACTGTGTTCTGGGGTTTGATCCTGTCGTTCTCTGTGGTTCTGTTGGACCTCGCTCTCGGTGGTGGGCGGCGGTTCCTCGGCCGGTTCGCGGCAGTGCGGCGTGCAGCGGTAGAACCACAGCGGCCCGTCCGTGTCATCCGGCTGCCAGTCCGACAGGTCGCTCAGCTCTCGGGGGTATTTGGCGTCCTGATAGGCCAGCTGCTCCTCCAGGAAGGCCTGGAAACAACCAAACATTTGGACGGAACCGAGTGGAGACGTTTACACAACCAGAACCATCTCTACTGTTTTTTATCAATTGATCAGACTTTGGTTATTAAAGGTGATACATATTTTGAATTTTTCCCCCCTTTGGTTTCCAGAGGTCAGATTGATGTGACCCGGCGGCCATCTTGTTTCTTCTGGTTAACTAAACTTTGAATTAAGTTCAAAAAGCCACGAAATATAGATGAAAATAAAGATTTCATAATGCTGATTTTATTTTAAAAATACTATAACTTTATTCTGCTATGACCTTTTTCTTATAATATTCTCGTGCAACTTTATTATGGTAATATTATGATTTTATTCTATTCTTATTATTCTCATAATTATTTTTTTTCTCATTATGGCCCTGATACTCTGTCCCAGTGTTTTGTGACTAATCGTATCAGTACCTTTTCTATAAAGTCCAGGTGTGTGTTGGTCTGCAGCCTGACGGCGCTCAGCTGCCTCAACTGGTTTTTATCCACAGGAGTTTCAGCGTATGGGTTTTCCACATGAGCCTCCGGCCTCAAGGACATCAGCACCGGGCCTGAAGAGCAGCAGAGAGCCCTGGTAACTACTGACATAACTCTAACCATCTGTAACCAGCTGGATGTTTGTGAGGGTTAATACCCCTGTTGATGCCCAGCAGCCACTCCTGAGCCGTCAAAGCTGCCTGGTTTCCAGCCGTCATTGGATACAAATCCTGGTGGAAAACCTCAGACTGGAACAGCAAACCTCTCCTCATCAGCTGCTTAACCAATGATAACGACACAACGGGACGATCGATACCTGTTTCCGTGGTATGATCATCGACAGAGGCTCTACCAGATCTTTGACGGCAATCAGCCGATAAAAACGGAAGATCTCACACACGCTCACATCCAGGCCGCGTTTCGGCATCACACCTGAAATCACAACAAAAATACGAAACGTTTCCCAACAGATTTAATCTGAACTCTTCGCACTGTCAGCTATCAGTCCTTTAACGTTATCTATGATTTATTTATGAGTCCTGAACAGTCACTCATTGTTCAGTGTTTCACAATCCAATATGACATTGTTTTTGGTTTCTGTTGCCCAAACTGTGTATCCTGGTTCCTTTTTGCAGATCAAACTAATTTTAGGGATGTTTGTCCCCAATTTTTACTTCAACTCTATTCAAAATCTGTGTATGCTTCTTTATTATCAGCTCTTTCTCAAACCAAACTTGTTTTCTCCATTTGAAGTATTTGAATAGTTAAATCACTCCGACCCAGTCCTTTCTGTGGCAGCAGCGATCTGTACTCCATCAGGAAGCTGATGTAGGGTTTCTCAGAGCTCAGCTCGTAGTATCTGATGTTCCCGTCCCCCTGAAACACGACAACAACATTCATGCCGAACCTCATTGCTGCTGTTTTTATTGAGAGGCAAATACTTCAATCAGAAGTACTTCTACAATTTAGACCAAAACCTTGTAAACATCACAGGAATTACACTGATTGATTGGTCAATAATACTTTACTGAACTTGGAAAGCATGTTAGTGTTCAGACCCAACATGTTACATTAATTATTCTGGATTTAATTAGCATTTTCAAACCTTTCCAGCCAAGTAGAGCATCTGTGTATCAGGATCGTAGAACGGGAAGAGAACTCCTGCAGATCCGTCCAGATCCTCCTCATACAGAGGCTCTGATAAATCATCCTGCACAAATAAAAGGTCAAAAAGATGTTTTAGGTTTAAACAAGTGGAGACACAACTGATTGGTGCGGGAGGTTTTGGTGCCTTTGTGCAGCTAATGTTCTGGGTAAGAGGTGGATCAGGATGCTACATGTTTATTGAAGTGAACTCTTTAGCGGTTTGAATGCATATGAACGCATGAAAAACAGGAAGTGGACTGCAACGCAGGGCATTCTGGGTAAGTTCAACCAAAACAAACACGCTAGGCTAGTGCTAGCAGGGGAAATGTGTTGTGGTCTTTTACAGAGAACAAGAAAAATCTTCCAACTGCTAAAATCTGACGCTTTTCCATTTTTGTTTACATTTTGCAAAGAGGGAAGTTGCTCCAGGTTCTTCTTCTTTCAAATTGTTTCCTTCAGTGGTTCTTGCAGCGCCCCCACAGGCGAGAGAGGAAAAGGTTTTTCAAAAGGTTTGACTCAATGCAGTCTGAAAGTGAACTCCAGCAACTGAAAATGTAAAAAAATGAAGCAATTTTTCCCCCAGCTGAACCCTGAACTAATTCTGGCTGCTGGGTTTAAACTAAAGTCTTACTGGGTCCCAGAGGATGATCTGTCTGTGGTTCCAGGGCGAGCTTCCAGTGGACAGGAGCATCTTCCCTCTGATGTATAAAACCTTGTTAGCCCGGTGTGTCTTGTTGCTGGAAACCTGTAAAACCAAATAGTAACATGACTACCAAATCCACCAACCGACACAAAAACTCTGAAAAAAGCCACCTGTAGGATCTTCCCGGTCCGCGGCTCCAGAACCCGAATCTGCCGGTCTTTACATGTGACCGCCAGTCTGCTGCCGTCCATGTTGAAGCTGACGGACAGCAGCAGCGCCTCGGACGGGTAGCGATGGTGGACGGGCATCAGAACCACCCGGACCGGGTGTCTGATAACAGAACCGGAATGGGACACGTCCCAGAGGAGAACCTGGAGAAGGTTCCAGTAAAACGTTTGTGCACAAATTTTTTTTTTGTTTTGTTTTTTTGCAATTGTGAAATAGTTTTTTTAATCATCAGCGGAGAATCAGAAACGTTTTGTTATTTTCGTTTTGACCTTGTAGTCGTAGCCCGAGCTGAGCAGCAGGTTCTCTGCAGTTGGATGCCACTCAATGATCGCCACCCTCCTGCTGTGGCCCGTCAGAGTCTTCCTGGCCTTGGTGAGGTTCTGTTGGACCCCACACACTGGAATATCCCAAATCTTCACCTGCGTACATAAAGGATAAATCATGATTTCATCCTCTATGTTGACATTTCTACTGACCTGACCCTGATTTTAGGTTCAACCATAAAATAAAGTCTGAACCAAAGAAAACCTTTGGAAATGAACCTTTAAATGTGAATAAACAAAGGGAAACATGGCTGCTTACAGTGGAGTCTTCAGAGCAAGAGGCAATGCAATAATCGTTGAACGGATTCCATTTGACGTCCAGAACTCGGCCGCTGTGACCACAAACCCTCGGATAGTGAGGGTCTACTCTCCCCAACTGGAAGACATTTTACTTTGCTAAATTAAACTAATTATTTAAACATTTCTAACTAAAAGTTTAGTGTGTTGAGTTTTATTTGGACAGTAGACGGACAGAAGGTCAGTTTAACAAGCAGCAGTAAAATGATTGTTGTGTCGGCTGGACGTGACCCGAGTTTGACCTCCATACACAATGAATGGGCAGGACGAGGAAGGCCCCGCCCCCGGCGCACTCCGTCACCACGGCGATGAAGCAGGGATTGGCTGAGCAGTAGTGGTTGTCATGGACGCTTCTTGTGATTGGCAGGCCGTCGTAGCTGTGCTCTTTGGTCGCTGGCTTCCCGAAGACGTAGCGAAACTTTGAGCACCGGAAAGACGAGCGCCACGACATCTGGAGGACAGGAAGTGACACAACAGGAAGTAGGGACAGTTTCACACCAACCACAGAGCCTGAAGGGGGCAGTACTGTGTGTTTCCAGGCACATTCTGCCGTTTTATAGGACAATTACTCTTTAAGTCTTTATGAAAATGGAGCTACGCCTCGAAGGCGGAGCTAAGTCCTCCCAGGTGTTTTGTACAACTAAATGGTTGCCATGCAGATTAAAAACATGCATGAAAAAAATCCAGTTTTGTTTTTGATGAGGAAATAACATCATAACATGTTGATTTTACACAGTACACTGCAAAAACACCAAATCTTACCAAGTACTTGTGGAGTTTGCAGGGCAAATATTTTAAATCAGACAAAATTAGGAGCTTAAGGTAAAAATGTCTTAATAGAGATAATAAGATTTAAAAAAATTACTTCTACTGAAAATAAAATGTTGGTTTTTAATCTCATTTTCCTCCCATGTTGATCCTCAGTAAAATCCCAGAACCTTCTCTGCCAAACCAGCAGCTTCGTTATCGGTCCTGATCAATAATGCATCCAGTCGCAGTTATTGGTTCTCATAATTTTATAAATAATAAATCAGCTTCTTTCATGCTTCATGTCTTTAATTGCACCGTCGGTTCACCTCGCAAATTGAAAACCTTCTGTACAAAACGCTTTTAAATATTTATGCTACATCCCGTCTTTTTGCTGAGACCGACGTCCGCTGACCTTTGACTTTTGCTGCTAAAGATCAGTTGACTGGGCAAAGAAAATGTAATAAGTGATAAAAATGTTTAAAGACAATAATAACACAAAGTTATTTAAAGTTACAAACTTTCTCTGACTAAAAAGATGGATAAAGTCTCACCTTGAGTTGGTAGAAGTTCCTGCTGCTCCTCTTCCTGCAAACAAACGTGAATATAAGTTGGAGAAACGTTTTAATTCTGGATCTAAATATAAATCGACCACCATCTTACTGGAGGCTCCCCTCCTCTTCTTCTTCTTCTTCCTTCTTCTTCTTCTTCTCCTTCTTCTGATCCATGACGTCTGGCCTCCTCTTCCTCATTAGCTGAGCCGTTTATGCTCGGCTGCTCAGCGACAAACACCCAGCGACAATCTGATACGACGACAGCCACACACACACACACACACACACACACACACACACACACACACACACACACACACACACACACACAAAGAAAACCCTAATGACGCCTGTCAACATGAACTTGAGGGAAACCAACAATTGACTGCGAAATAATTTACATTTGAATCTGATCTGATTTCGCTGCATTATAATAATAATTTACCGTCCCTCTTGTTATGTTGAACTTTGACTAGGACACTAAAGTGTCTTGACAAAATAAAACATTGTGTTGTGTTTTTTTTGTAATTCAATATAAATACATGGCAGCCATTTTTACAATACATGGAAACATTCAAGATGAATACCTCATCGTAACCAAACTTTTGTTATATATATTATATTTTTCTAGTCAGCTGTGAACAGATTTTTGTATTTTCGTTTGTCTATTTTTTGTGTGAATGTTTTTTTTTTTTGTTGTTGTTGTTTTTTCTTGTTTTTGTCACGTGTTGGGGTTTTACTTGTTAACAGTGTTGTATAAAACATAAACTCTGTAAAGAACACGCTGTGAAAATTGATAAAGTAAAAAAAAAAAAATCAATATAAATGAATTTATATGTTTTAATAAAAAGTCATCCTTCTCAATATTTCTGGTCCAATAACTGCTCAGTATTTTTGTTTATCAGGGTTGTTATTGTTAATCTGTTTTTGTTTTGTTTTTACATATTTTCTAACATTTTTACAACTTATTTGTCAATTTATTAGAACTGAAAGCATTAGTAGGATCAATTGTTCTAAATCAATTACTGAGATAATCCTCAAATAATTTAATAATCTGTTAATCGGTTTAGATTAACCTGGTTCATATTCTGTGATTCTTTATACAAAACCTCCTATTAATCACCTTAATTAACCTTCGTTAATTGAATGTTGATATTAAAAGTATTTTTTTGCTGTATATTCAGTCTTTGCTACAAAATAATAAAACATTCAGCAGAGTGCTATTATGACATTGGAGGTTTTGATTTAAATAAAAGCAGCTTGTCTTGTTTCTGGGCGGATTCTTCAGAACATTCTGACATTCTGAAGTCACAGCGGCGCTGACAGCGGTTCCGGATCTGGTTCTGGTTCTGGTTCTGCAGCGTCTGCAGCTCTCAGCTTCAGTTTGTTGGGAGATTTTGCTGTTTTCATGTTAAATCTACTAAAATCAGGTAGGAGAACAGAAAACAATCACAGAGTTTTCACACAGGAAAGTTTGAGTTTAATGTGGAAAATGACAGAAATCTTCATAGTTTTATTTTTAACTAAATGAAGAAGAAACATGTTCACCTGTTTGTGGTTTGAAATAGTCATCAAAGTAAATAAATGCTATTTTTTTTTCTCTGCTGCATGTAGATTTAAAGCCAATCATTTCAAGCCATCACTTTTTTTAGTTCAGGTCTGCTCTAAGAAAAGGAAAATCAAATAAAAATTTAATTTAAATGTTTATTTTTGGGGGATTGTTGCTGTAAAATTTGCATTCAAATTTTTTGGCTCGGCTCAGTTTCAGGTTCATGTTTTATCTTGTTTGTTAGTTGAGTATTTTATTATTCCACCATCCAAATTGACTAAAACAAATTTAAAAATCTATATTTCAAAATATTTGTCGGCAGAAGGAGATGAAAAACGTTTGAAATAAACTGAATTTAAATGATGGTCAGAATCATCATGAGGCCATTTTTAGTTAATTAACTTTTGTTTCTGATTTCTTGTCTTTGCGTTTTATAAATAATGAACATGTTTATGATTTTGGGATTAGTTAACTGTCCAAGCAGACATCACACATCATCGAAGTGTGATGTCATTGGCACTAATTGAGCCAAGGGCTCAATTAGTGCAGATAATTAGGCCTTTAATTGGCATCATCCTAATGGTTACATCACTAGTTATTCTAATAACAGATGTTTAAATCCTCAGTAAAAACTTATTTTGCAAAATGGTTTATAAATGCATTCAATTGTAAAAGTGGCTCAACTGTTGACAAATTAACAGGATATAGATGGAATTTTATAAAGTCGTTTTTTTCAATAAGAAATATGAAATTACAATGAAGCCATTTTATTGTTTTTGTCAAAAATAGATGAATATATAATAATAGATTGAAATGTGGTTTACTTCATTTTAATGTTGAAATGACTCCACTTCCAAAACAAATAGAATAAATATAAAAATGAATATATGTCTTATCTCAAATGTGATGCGTTGAAACCTGCTGACCGGCTGCCATATTTGGTCAATGACATCACAGGATGAAGAACATCATTTTTCAAAATTGTTCATTTTTACTATTTTAAACGTTAAATAAAATTCAACAAATTAAATTTTCTAATCAAGACAAATGAGAGCAGAAAGTGAAGCATTGTGGATCAAGAGCCATATACCGGAAGTGGACTGTAGCGCAGGGCATTCTGGGTAAATGCAACCAAAACAAACGCCAGATGGAGCCTGGAAATGACTTGAAGACTTTTACCAAAGACAAAAGTGAAATTATTTTGTTTTCTAAAGTCCAACAGCCACTAAAATCCGCTGCTATTCCACTTTTGTTTTCATTTAATAAAGAAGGAAGTTCTGCTCAGTGTCTTCATTTTCTTCTGTGTATTTTGTTGCAGCGCCCCCCTGGTGAGGAGGGGAACAGATTTTTTAAATTAGTTTGGTTGGTTTTGCACATCAGCTGAAAATGTAACAAATGTTGCGGTTTCATTCTCTAATTAAACCCAGTCAGGTGTGAAAATACACACTGCAAGAAACACACATTTTATTGGTCTAGTTTCTACAGCAAATCTGAAATAAGACAAAACTGACATAAAATTAACATTTTAACAAGATAAAGGAACTTTCAATAATTCCTCAATAGGTAGGTTAATGTTTTCCCACGTTACTTCACTTATAACATGGGAAAATGTGAGGTTATAAGTGAAATAATCTGCCTGGAGAAGTAGTAAATTTGATCAGTATTGAAGATTTACTTTTAGTTTCTTCTTATTCAAGAAACTAAAAAGTTTCTCACTTGAAACCTTTTAGTTTCTTGCAAGAAACTAAGTACAATTAGTTTCTTGCTATTAACACTGCAAGTACACTTGAAAAAGTACACTTTTGCAATAGAAAATAAAGATTTGTGTGTTTTATGCAGTGCACACCTGAAAGCCCTGCGTTATAGATACTCAAGAAACTAGAGGGATTCATGACTTACGTCTTTATGCTGATGACATAATTGTGTATTTTCGAGTGGTAAAAACTTTCTGTGCCGATTTATTTCAACATAATCGACATAATCTCTGTTTTAGTTTGTTTACCTCAATGCAGCCAAACTCTCCAACCCCTTCGCCAAAATCCTCCCAGCTGACACAAGCGTTGATGTGCATCCGTTTAATGGTGAGGAAGCTCATATCAGCTCAAAGCCATTTGTTTGAATTTTGCTGTTGGAGAGTGTTTGTTTCTTCACATGCAGGATGCAGGTCAAACCTCCAATGTCCATTTTGGAAAGAGCTGTGATTCTTTAGAAACCACTCAGCGGTAGGAAAAACACAAACCCAGCAGGTTTTTCTCCAGCAGCTGAAACTCACAGAAACAAGACGTAACATTCTCAACGTGTCGCTCAGGACGTTTCCAGAAAACTCCCTGATCGTCCGTGAAGCGCTGAGAATGGACCTGCCTCGGCACCTCGTCCTCAGGAGAGTCCAGAAAAGGCTTCAAACCATCGGGTCAAACTACACCGACCTGAAAGATTTGGTCGCAGACCTGTTCGAACAAGATGGCCTCCCGTCGTCGCTGGACCAGGAGATCCCCATGGAGACCAACCAGCTGGAGGAGGCCATGATGATGAACAGCCCCGTGGTGAAGGACGCCATGCGGCGCGGCGTGCCCCCTCACCTCATCAAACCGCTCCTACGGGCCAAAATATTAAGAAGTGGCGCCCCCTACTCTGACATCCGTGAACTGCTCGCAGATGTGCACAAACATTAGATTAAAACAACCAATTTATCAATAAAAGTGCTCACACTTTTACAGTAGTGTTGGTGTCCGGGTTATCAACGTTTTGGCACTTTTATTAGATTCTGGAGGAAATCTGAACCTGCTTTACTTTTGTTTCCATCTGGAGACTGTGTCAAACCAACCAAACCCTTTGAGCAACCAGTTCCCCTCCCCGCCTGCGATGGCGCTGCAGAAGGAGACAACATGAAAACCTGTAAATACGAAACACAACTAAAACAAACACGTTAGTTCAGCACTGACAGGAGAAATGTCTTCTGGTCTGAACCAAAAACAAAAGAGAAATCACACAACAGTCTGACGCAAATCTATTTTTGTTTACATTTCACAAAGGTAGAAGATGTACACGGCGTCTTACCGTTGTTTAATTGTTCTTGGTGCAGCGCCACCACAGGTGGGGAGGGGTAATAAGTTTTTCAAAGGGTTTAGTTTGTTTGACTGGCAGGAGCTGAAAAAATATGTTGCAGAAAATATCCTCTAGTTGAGCACAATATTTGGCTACTTTACATTAATAGGTTTCTGGGAGGAAGAGGAACATTTTCCAATAAAATGCTACAATTATGAAATAGTAATTAATCCTTGGTTTAGTTTCAACTTGAATTATTTTTGAAATTGTTAAAGATCAAATAATTTCAATTATATCCTAATATGTGAAAAATGTTCTAATCTTTTCACAAACCCTGACTGGTCAAACCTTGTCATGCAGAAAAATCTTGTCAAATTTTCACAACTCAGATTATCTTTGGGTTTAATCTGAAAACTGTCATATTATGTTTTGCT